ACAATAATTGGTGCAATCTAATTACTACAGCTTCGTAGCTTAATTGATATAATCAATTACATATGAGCAACAATTGAACCAATTGGTGTTCCCAGTTATTACTGTGTTTGATTATACAAACTATTAATTTAAGTTCACAATATATTGATTGTCGTGAAAATATTCAACTAATTCAAATAAGGGTTTCTGATTATTACTGTTTTAAACTATTCCAACTATTCAAGGAATCAGAATAATGCTACCAAACTTGCTTTCCTTCTCTTTGTTATGCCAAAGCTACTAAGGCTATTTGCCACTGTTACTATTGTTTAATTGCTGACTATGGTGACTACTGGCTGGTAGCACCTGCTACCAAACATGAATGGAGGAACGAAGTACTAATTGATTAATGGGACCACTTGTATCATAATTGCCTGGTTCTATTCCCAACCAAACCTGCAAAGAGAATTACTCATCTGTCATCCTCAGCGATGTTAACTTAGCTGAAACAGTTTAAGTGTTAGGTATATTCCTTGGGGAATAAATTATACTTATTAACTTCAGTGGTCTGTTTTAAATGCTTATTTTTGTATTCCTTTTCAAGCAACCACCGTCCAACAGTTGGCTGCAGACGTGGGAAGGTGATGTAGATGTGGAATGTGTGGGCTTCAGCAGTCATGCCTACCTTTTTTTGTAAAGTGTTCTTATACAACATGTGAGGCATGTCATCTGAGGTTAAGTTTAGAAGTTAGTTTACCCTACTAATGTGTAGGTCCTACTTGTGCAGATATCCTTAAAAGCTGTGATATATATATTTTATAATTTTCCACAATATAACTTGTAAACTTGGAGCTGTTCTTGTTTTTTTATTAGTTTGTCTTGGCCTGATATTTTTAGTTTACTATGTTCATCACAGGTTTGGAATTGATGTTTTTCTTTATTATGGTTTTAATTTTATTTAACTGCTTCGACTCTCTTAACCCTCTTGCTGGAGGCAGCTCAAAATCGACATGTCACGACTTTTTAGAGAGTTACATTCAAAATTTAATTAAACTACTTTATTTTTATGATATATGAATAAACTTGGCATAAAAGTGTAGCTAATAAATCAGATTTTACTGTTATATAAGTTTTACGTTGTTAATTTCTATAAAGAAATATTTAAAAAGTCTTCAATCTCACCTTCATAGGAGAATTCTGACATTTTCTTACTAGGAATCCCCTCTTCTTTAATTTATTTATTTACCACCCGTCTGAGAAGTATGGGATTTGTAAATTTTTATCACTCAGGCAAAGCATAATTTTTATATAGTCTTCAATCTTATTTGGTTACAGAGTTATGGATATAAAAATAGATCAGTCCCTTCTTGCCATGCCCATCTGTTACATCGTCTGTTTCACAAATTGCCAATAGTTCTCTCTGAAGTTTAAAACTATATTATTTATAACCAATAGAAAGCCAAAGCCAGAAAAATTATGACAGTTATTGGATATTATCTGCTTTTTACATATTATTATTCTGGGTTCTTAGATAAAAAAATTTAGTGCAGCAGTATCATTTGTATGAAAAAGTAGGGTTAAGTTTCACCAACAGTCGACAGACAAAAAAAAAAAAAAATCCAAGTAAGTATTATATTTTTTGTTTTTTGTGTGTATTCTTTATTTATTATTATAAAATTAACTAAAATTTAAAATTAGAAATTTATTACATTAATATATTGTTAGATTAGATAAGATAAATAAAAATAATTTTTCAGGAGGTGAGATTATGAGTAGCCTGTGCCTTACATAATTCAATAAGGTAATGTGAGCTATACATTCACTAAGTGATTTACAAGTTCTGTGGTTAGTTAGATATGCTTCAAATGCTAATAGAATAATAAAATTAAGTATAAATAAATGTATACTATTATGAGTTTTAAGCTATTTAGAATAAATAATTGTGATTTTCTGTTACAATCTGCTGTCATTCTAGAAAGAAAATAGGGTAATTTATATTTATTTTGTATTTTTTATGGTGGTTGTGAGGTCAGTTAAATTGTATGTGCACAAACACACACACACACACGCACATATATATGCACTAAGACATATATGTATATATATTTACATATTGGGATGGATTGTTCATAATGATTAATTCTCTGGACTCATAGTTGAAAGGTTGAAGTTTTAAGGCTTGCTTGCTCCTTGTCATGTCCTTGAGCAAGAAACTTTAATTGCTTCAGTGTACCCCACTGTAAAATAGCTGCAGGTTGTCCTTTGACAAACTGGCATCCTTTTCAGGAGGAATGTGGAAAAATTGTCATCTGTTTGTGCCAAGCAGCTTAGGGTGAATAATCAGCTCCTGTTTGCAGTCTAGGCATAAGGAAGGATTTCACTTGACATATACACACAAACATGCACATCCATTTATATGTATATAGATACACACAGTATTTTATTGTAAACAAGTTTTATCAGCTAATATAAGTTATAAAACAGGGATGAATAAAGAATTTTTGTCAATATTGGATGATATGAAGCAAACTTATGATAGAAATTTTTTATCAAGACTTAAGTTTGTATTCTATTGTATATGTGTTAATAATTCAAATGACTCATGAGTGACAGCAAATAAGAATAATTTGGATATAAACCACACCATATTCACATGACAAAGTAATGGTCAAGATGCAATATATATCATCAGTTTTCATGAACTACAAATGTTAAGGTGTAAATTTGATTCAGCAAATGAATTGTAATTATTATCAATTTTATTTAAGTCATTTACAAATAAGATTTTTAGATATAACAAAATTATCATTATTTTTAATACTTTATTTATTATCATTATTTTATTTGAATTTATGTATTGTTAGAGTAATCATAATTATCTTATTCATCAGAAATTATACAAGGAATAGGAATGTAAAGGTTATTCTTAAACATTTCATAATCTGATTTATATTTAAAAGCAAGTTTGATACTGCGATTAAGTAAACAAAGATAGATCTGGAATAATGTAGAGAAACTGTGATATTTCCTAGAGAGAACTCATTATAATGTAGTGATATACAAACCACAATCAAATTTGCTGTTACAAAAGTACTATTTGAATTATACCTCTGGTAACAGGAGAAATTACTTTCCCAGAAGAAGGATCTTCACCTTCCATCTTTGATTTCAAAGTAGCAAAAGAAGAAAAAGAAGAGAACTATGATGAATTAACAGAGAAAATAGAGGTATTCTCTAGTTTAAAACTTGTAACATTTTTGTTTGAGAGAAATAGTTTGATATTTTAAATAAAACATTTTAGGAAGTATTTTAGCTACAATATCTTTCTGATTTTTTTTTACAATGTTTGTAGTTACAACATAAAGAATATGAGTGTAAGTTAGACATCAGGTACAACTATCATTGTAACTGTTATAGTAAAGATAATTAAAGAATAAATTGGCACATCTAAATGAAAACATTTTATAGTTTTATGTAACATTTCGGGTAGAAGCCTTTATCAGGCTGTAAAAATTGTAACTCACAGCAAGATCTCCCCTGACCAAATGTTGATAGTCCGCAGATGTTTGCTTAGTTTTTGATATTGAAATAGCAGTAAAAATATCATAATGGGAACAGATATGAATTTCACAATTGTTTCAATATTTTCATTATTTAAAATTATTATATGACAAAGATAAAAAAGATTAGTTGGTAGCTAAAGGTGTGGAAAGGAGGTGATTATAATTCTGCCAATATGGTTCTGAGTTCTGTAAGATATTCCTCTGTTTGATGTATTTTCAGGAAAGTTCCTCAGTTTTTCTGTATTTTCATATTTCTATATTTTTTTATCCAAATTGCTGTTTAATGCATGATATTGATCTTGACCCAAAATGTTGGCAAAATTTCACACTACTATAATTACCAATGGTAATGGTGTTGCCATATTGAAAGGTAATGTCATTGTTCACTAGTAAATCTACAGAATAAAGTAAATAAATATATTAAAAAATATCAAACACGTTAAAACTGATTGGACACAGAAAGTGGGACTTGCTGTTCAATAATTAAAATTAGAAAGGCTAATATGAAAAAAAGTATTTTTATTGTGTTTCACAACAACAGTTAAGATATTTCACAACTTATAAAACAATTCAAGTAGTAAATCAAACTTTATGAATATTTTCATGTTGAAACCAGACACTGTTTAGAAAGTGTCTCCAGTTTCATGCAGGTTGGTTAAATATTTTCACTGTGAGAACAAAATGAAGTTTCTTTAGAATAGATTTTGTGAGTGGGCATAAGAATAACACTTTATATCTTTGTTGCAACTACTTAACCATACTAAGGAAGTTGAAACATTTTAAATTTCTCTTGTGTGTTTTCTTTTCTTTCTTTTTTTCATTTTACAGGTTTGAGTGTGAATTGTAGAATTCAGATTCATATGGTGAGAAGATTTAGCTACTTTTTTTCATAAAAAATCAATATATGATGTTGAATAGTGAGGTAAATTATTTCTCCCAAAGGGATCCGAACGCTGCTTGGAAGGGTCACTCGTTGTAACCACTCACACCACTATACAGTAGTGTGTTATCTATCAGTCAGTCAAGTCAGTAGACACTAAAATGATGTCACATAAGGGACACTTGCCATTCAATTTGTACTGTCTTGATGTTCGTAAAACATGCAAACTTCATGAATCATGAGAAGAATTATGCACTCTGTAGGCTACAACACAGCATGACATACAAACTTTAAAAGCAAGAAATAAAACTATTTATTACTCTTAATTTTGGTTTTATTTACTCTTGAAACAGAATACTTTCAGGGACCATGCAGAAGTACGCCTAGTACATACCATACTTCCTTTGTACATGATTGATCTCTGCCTGGGAAAGAATGGCACTGTTTCTTTGTTTGGGTTTTTATTGGCATACTTAGTGAATGCCTAACCTGTGAGATAGGGTTTTAAAGTACATATAACACTGTCACGCTTAACTGCAAATATCCCAGCACTGATATAACCTGTGCTTTTCAGTTATAAGAAATGTTATAGCAAAGGTGGTATTGCCTGGCTTATTATGTTTTGCAGTAACTTTAGGGGGAAGGCGTTTTTTTGTACTTTATTGACAATACCAGTCGTTGTTTGTTATTAATCTTATATATTTTTTATTTAAGGACACAACTGTCAGAATAAGTACCAAGCAAACTGGTGATTCACCACAAAGTGGAATTATATCCAGATTCAGTGAGAGTGATAATGAAGTTCAAGATTTTTCAAAACAAGGTGCTGTGGGTGTGAAAAAAGAAATTGAACCAGAAGGAGGAGAGTTGCAACAGATTAATTCTGAGTTAGAAGTTTTATCAGGTGAGTATAAACTTGGTGAAGTGGCAACTTTACTTCAAGTTAAATATTGTAATCATGCATAATTTTATTTTATGTTATATATAGTGCATCATACAGAATCTGTGTAGATTTATGGTAAATTTGTTTTGTGATGCACTTGGGAGGAAGTATTTTGGAAAAGGTTGCTACCACATTGTCTGGATACTCAGGAAAACAAATTACTTGATTTATTTGTGATCCAAAAGGTATCATGGAGCCACATTAATGATAATTCACCTACACATTTATGTTAAACAAACAAAAACTTGCATGTGGTGATAATAATCCATAATCTTTGATATATATATATATATATATATGCCTTGGTTTAAAAACTTTAAACCCATCCTGGAATTAATCCATCATTCTCTGATGTCATAATCTAAAATGTAAATTTTTGTATGTGCTTTGGGATTGTATTCAGATTGGTTTGTTGTGTGGCATGTAATTTTAATTGGAAGGTGAACAGTGTTATCAATTATAAATCCATCTCAATGAACAGAATGTAACCCATTGTCTTGCAGCACTCGTACTGTATCCTGTAAAAGATAGGAAGCTGATGGATGGTTGTAAAACAGAACTAGCATATCAGAATGAATTAAAATTTTAAAAAAATCTCAGAATTAGTATTTTATTTTATCCACGTTTCAGCATATGAGATAAAAAATTGTCTGCTTGACTCTATGGTGCTTGGATGGCAATTGCACCATTGAAATAAAAACATTACAGAAAATAAACTTACCATCATTAAAAAATTCATATTTGTAATTTATGTGATAAAAAATTCATATTTGAAATTTATGTATAAAAAAAGTCTTAAAATTACAAATTTTTATTTTCAGTTCATTTCAGTATGCTCCAAACTAAAACATTAGTACATTTAATTTTTTTCTGAGTATAATGTGTCACTTATAGCTCCCTAAGAGGAAAATGGGTTTTAACAAAATTATACAGATCTAATTTGAACCTTGTAACTTCAGCACAAGTATATTTTATTAATCTTCACCAGTCTGTTACTCATCCAAGGTTGTTGTGTTTTGGTGTAATTGCCTATATCTCAGTTTTGTGGAGACATAGGCTAATTATCTTAACACATAATGAAACCTTTTTTTTTAATTCTGTTCTTTTAAATTGCATGAGTCAATATGGGTTTCATTTCAGCAGAGATTCACAGAGAGATTGGAACAAAGTAATAGAAGCTTAGGTTGGTGACATGTTGCTAGTAGAAAAGGTATTTGTTAGCAACTTTTGCAACAATTACAGTCTGATTTTTTTAAAGCTTGCAACAAACTTCCTTTGACATCTTTTGTTCTATTTAAATTGTGATGTTGATGTAGGGTAGAACAGAATTGTTTTTTTTTGTGAGATGTTTTACACTTGACCGCATCAGTTTTCATTTCTCCAACAAGATTGTTGTTTGTTAGGCCTTATTGGCTTAAGTAACTTCTAGAATGAGCAAAGAAAATCATGGAAAATAAATGTAAAAAAGATATGAATATAAAATTGGTTTAAGATTTACTACATATTTACTATTTAGAAACGAGTAAAAGTATTATTTACAAGGAATAAGAGAGTAATAATACTATTTAAGACTGTTGAGTAAGCAAAAATAAGACCTTTTAAATATATATTATATTGTAAGAAATATAGGGGGGATAAGAAGAAAGTGAATTCCAAGGAATTATTATATGCATTAAAGATACAAGTTTAAGACTGTAAGTAATACAATTGAGAGATGAAAATGGTGAATAACAGAAATCAAAATAACTAATCATGGAAAATTTTTAATGCCAAACATCCATAGTATTAATAAGATTTTTCTTACTTCTAGAACAATTGAGATTGTGAGAAAAATAGAGTAATATGGAATACATTGGCATATTAATGTTAACTGGCACTTTAGCCCAGTAGGCCCACAGTTTTAATGTGCCCTTCCTTCTTGAATAACTTATCAAGAAAATTATCCACCAACACAAAAACACCTATAAATTGAAATGCAATGAAATGAATGGAAAATTTGTTTTTATTCAACTTATTTGGAAATTGTTATCCCTAAGATGGACCCTCAAATTGTTGCACTCTAGACTCAAGCCTTGAAAGCTCATTGGTTAATATGCCCCTGGTGGAATATATGATTTGAAAATCAAATATTCACGTCTCTTTGATTTTTTAGTGAAATCTTTAAGGTAAATACAAAAAAATGTTTAATGAGCTATAACAGTTGTTACTTAAGTTTTCTACTATAACTGTTAAAGCCAGGTGACTAAAACCAGTAAAAAAATCAGAAGACCCTCAGTTTTGTTTGACTATTTTTAGAATTGTACATCTCTTATATTCAGTTGGAGCAATAGAAGGAATAAGTGTTTTTGTTCAGGTTTACATGAGACTTTATTGGAATTATTAATCAAGTGGCTAATGATGATAACAGTTGTTATAAATATGCAAACATTGTTGAAGTTTGATGTAAATATCACTATAATAAACATTTGTTTTCATTTCCACTACTTTTATTAATTATTTTTTTTATATTATTTCCATTCATTCCAGGACTTTGATGTCTTTTATTATAAAGCAAGTTTCTTTCAATTAGCCCTATAAATATTTGAAAGAAATGACATGACAATATTATTATTCAATCATTCAGATGTTTAGGTTTATTATATTTATATACACCTTTAATATTTTAATTTTGTTTTGCAAGTTATTCTATTAGAGCAATTACTTAAAGCTATTTATGAACTTAGTTAATTAATTTAAATTTACTAATTACCATGTTTGTATGAATACATCTTTTCATTGTAGATCCAAAGACATACTTAAATAACTGCTGTGGAAAGCAGTTTCCTGTTCATCATCTTTTTACAAAGACAAAATGGAAATCTCTGAAATCAAGCAGTGGTGACATACTTGGTGAAACATTGTCAAGAGAAAAAAACAAAAGCAAAACTCATCACACTGGAGATAAACTGCACAGGTGTGTAGTGTGTGGCAAAAAATTTGGAAGAAATAGTGGCCTAAAAAAACATGAGAAGATACACACTGAGGAGAAATTGTACAGGTGTGTAGTGTGTGGAAAAGAATGTGGAAGTAATAATGACTTAAAAAAACATAAGAAAGTACACTTTGATGAGAAACCACACAATTGTGTAGTGTGTGGAAAAAGATTTCTTAGGAATAGTGAGTTAAAAATACATGAGAGGACACACACTGGAGAGAAACCCTACAGATGTGTAGTGTGTGGCAAAGAATTTGGAAGTAGTAGCTATCTTAAAATACATCAGAGGATACACACTGGGGAGAAACCATACAGTTGTGTAGTGTGTGGCAAAAAATGTAGAAAAAATGGTGACCTAAAAAAACATGCAAGAACACACTCTGGGGAGAAACCCTATGGGTGTCTGCTGTGTGGGAAAAAATTTGGAAGTAATGGTGAACTAAAAATTCACGAGAGGACTCACACTGGGGAGAAACCATACAGTTGTGTAGTTTGTGGCAAAGAATGTGTAACAAATAGTGACCTAAAAAAACATGTGAGGACACACACTGGTGAAAAACCATATAGTTGTATAGTGTGTGGCAAAGAATTTGGGAGTAATAGTCATCTTAAAAGACATCAGAGGATACATACTGGTGAGAAGCCATACAGTTGTGAAGTGTGTAGCAAAGAATTTGTAACAAATAGTTATTTAAAGATACATATGAGGATACACACTGGGGAGAGACCATATAGTTGTGTGTTGTGCGGCAAAGAATTTAGAAGCAATAGTCATCTTAGTATACATCAGAGGATACACACTGGAGAGAAACCGTACAACTGTGCAGTATGTGGCAAAGAATTTGGACGTAATAGTCATCTTAAAAGACATGAGAGGATACATACTGGTGATAAAAAATGTAAATTTGTTTAGAACCATGCACACAATTTAAAAGTAGTATCTTAAAGGACAGAGGGTACTATTTTGGGAAACACCTTACTGTGTACAGTGCATGGAAAAAATAAATGAAAAGATGCATAATAGGGAGAATTCATATAGTTGTAATGTGTGTTGTAAGAAGTTTCCTCTGGAAGGATTTATAGAAATATCATGAGTAGGTAAAGACATATTTTTGTTTTTGGGGTGTGTGTGTATAATATATATATATATATATATTATGGGAAAATATTTAAAGAAATATCACCGGGGTAAAACAATATGGTTATAGCATTACTGACAAAGATTATGTAAGAGTTCCTATAAAATGTGTATAGACAACAACAGTGAATAATTCCCAGGTATTTTTAGATATGTTGTTAGAAGGTTAGAATACTAAGTTAATTTACAGAAGAGAATTTATGTCTGAGATATAGTACTATAAATTTATAACAAAAAAGGAACAAATTTTCCAAAATCTAACACTAAAATTTACAATGGTACACATTTAGAGTGACCTGTCTTGATTAAATTCTAATGTAGGTCCAAGCTAAATGAGCCTCAGTATGACTGTATGATAATATAATCCAACATGGCCTTGTGCTAACTCAAAAATGCCATTCATGCATTATCAGATGAAATTGTTATGTATAATTTTAATTGAATCTGATCACAGGTAACATGCATTTTTTATTGTTTATTTTCTAAAAGGTAAGTCATCACAATATGTGTATGAACTAAATAATACATGTTCCTATAATGTCTTACTTGTTTGTTTGCGATTACCATTCCCATTATTTTAAATGAGCAGTTAATGGACCATCTAATAGTTTGGCAAGAGCTTCCATGATTATATAATGGTCACACCATATCATTGTAAGAACAGTGTCCACCACAAATAATGTATGCTTGTGTGCACCGAATACATGACTTTACACCCTTGTACACTTTGATATATCATACTCTGAAACTACAGTGGATTAGTTTGTAGCAGTGATTAGAAGTCTCAGGTTGCACTGCCACTGTAAAGGAATGAAACCAATCTCTTCTTTCTTCCATTTCCTGCAGATGATTTTTCAATAGTTACGAATTCTGGATGAGACACTCCAAATGTAGCATACTTATGAAAAAAAATGCTGTATTTCTATGTTTATTAAGAGCAGCTATAATTGGAGCTATATTCTGTCTCTTATGAGTTCATTAACAACATCCAGTGCTCATGTTAACCTTGTTCACTGGTTGTACAGTAGAAGAATGTATCTTTCTAATTTGATATCTCTCTGGGGCACATAGATAAAGAGGTGTAATGTACATGTAATCTGTTGGGAATGCCTTCCAAACACCGCACATTCTGCAATATATTATCCAGTTTTGTAACTAGTATAGGTATATCAAGAAGATAGGATAGCACTGAGTTGACTCTGGGCTCCTGCATCTAACTATATCGGTAGACTGGAACATAGCACTTGTTAACAACTTTTTTGGACAGCAAATACTGTAAAACAACATTTGAGTAAACCATTCTGATAAGAATTGTGAGTGACCTTAACTGGCAGCATGAATCTGCTTTCTTATGGCCATATGGTGACACGTCTACTGTATCTGACTTCAGTTGTACCAACTGTATTGTATCCAGAAATGTTCTGATGATGGCTGTGTTGTGGTAGTATATTCTGACTATATCTTCTGACATTAGTTTGAATAATTCATCTTTGATCTCCCTGATATAAAGAAAATACCTTCTATCAATGAACAATCAATTTGCATTATGATGTCATACCACCAAATTGAGACTCATCCAGTTTGGGTCTATCAGCTATTACTCTAAAGGTGATATCCTAGCTGTATACCCTGAGGCTTATTGGTTTCGTATTTTTTGGAGTACAGCAAAAGTGATGGAAGCTATAGTAACTTAACTTACTCTGAAAAGAAACCTAACACTTGTAAGTTGTTTTCTTGTTTAACCTGAAGAGAAACCTGACACTTGTAGTTTCTCCAAGTGTAAGTTGTTTTCTTGTTTAACCTGAAGAGAAACCTGACACTTGTAGTTTCTCCAAGTATAAGTTGTTTTCTTATTTAACCTGAAGAGAAACCTGACACTTGTAGTTTCTCCAAGTGTAAGTTGTTTTCTTATTTAACCTGAAGAGAAACCTGACAGTTGTAGTTTCTCCAAGTGTAAGTTATTTTCATGTTTAACCTGAAGAGAAACTTGACACTTATAGTTTCTCCAGGTGTAAGTTGTTTGTAAATAATCATACATTTATGTAATGTGAAAAAAAAGAAAGAAGGAATAGTTACCTAAAACAATATTACGAGTAGTGAAACCATAAAGCTGGGATGTCTATGGTAAGGAAGTTTAAAAAACAAGTACACTTGAAAGAAATCATTGAAGTAAATGTTGTGGAGATGAGCCACATATTTGTGAAGGTTTTGAAAAAATTATATAAGGTGACATGGTAGGACATGTAAATAAGACTTGATCTTATAATAGGTATCAGTTGTTGGATGAGGGATAATCTCCATTAATTATCAGAATGTTTTTACTTGTTTTTAACTTAAACATTGTACATATTCTGTATGAATTAAAAATTGATTATTTGAAGACTCCAGAATACTTATTTAATACAGATACAGTAACATCAGTCATTCTTAAACTCATTTTCAGGTTCATGTACAACTTCTTTTGAAATACAAACCCAGGTCTGATTTTAAAAGATGAAAAACCTATTAGCAAAAGTTAATATTTTTAACATCACCCATTAATAGAAAGGATGATGATATTTTTTATTGCACAGTTGAAGAGTAAGTATTGTGTTCTTTGTTTTGTCAATTTAAAGGAAAGAAAGCACTGGCGAGTCTATGCAGTCTAAGGTTGAGTTTAGAAGTGAGGACAGTTGTGTGTATATGCAAGTTGGAAGTACAAATTGGACTTATTACAAATTTTATAATTTTTTTGCATACCATGAACATTAGCTTCACATACCAGAGTTTGAAAATCACTGTGTTACATGATACTTTACTCATTTAAAAATTTACTAGTTTCTAAAAATGTTATTGCTTTTGGTACACCTGTTTTTAATACCGAACATATCAGTGAAAACAGAAGTGTGCAGGATATAGATGTATTCACTTCTTTATTGAACCTTTAGAATTCTGACAAAAACATTAAAGATGCTAAATAAAATAATGTTGTTTATTATTAGTATTTATTTAGTCTAGGTTCCTCATGTGAGTTAATTAAAATCGTATATTATTTTGTATAAGTGCAATGACATTAAACAAATAGGTACTTAACATGCAACTTCATTCCCATTTAATTTGCACTTAGATCTCAAACTATGAGACTTTGGACTTCATTTATTAAGGAATTGTGAGGATAAAGGGTGTTATAGTACTTTCTAACTGCAAAGTATCTGAAAGTGGTTAGTTGATTCAAAACAGTTCACTATAAAATGTTTAGCATCCAAATTTCTTACGTTTTTGTAAAGATATACCTATAATCTTGCTGACATTGTAAAATTATTTTTAAGTTTTCTGTAAAATGTGTACATTCTTATTTATATGCTACCATGTACAGTTCAATAATTGTCTTATAATTAGTAGATAAGGTATTGTTGTGTAGTGATGGATAAATAGGCCTAATTTTTTTATTATTGTTGTTCTCTGTGTAATAATAAATAAAAATAACCTTTTTAATAGGATATTATTGTGGTTTGGTATAAAGGAAATGTTAGAATAGTGCAGTGTTGTTGAGGAATAAAGTTCAGCATGAATCATATGCTTTCTTTAGCTGCTTAGAACAAAAAAAATGCTCAAGTATGAATTAGAATTTGTTTTAAGTGACATTTGAAATAAACTACAAACTCCCAGACAAATATTAGAAATGGTGACTGTTTTTAAGTTCAGTTTAAAATGAGATTAGCTTTCATGAACATTTAATTTCTAAATAACAAATATTTAGTCAATAATGGCACATAAAATGATTTTAAAATATTTATGACCAAGATGTGAGAAGTGAATGTTTGTGGTTTTAATGATACAGTCTATGATATATAAAAATACAGTTTGGTTAATATGATTTTTCTTGTTACATGTATGACCCAAAAAAAGGAATATGTGAGATTGAAAGAGCAGTAGCAAAAGTGAAAGAATTTCTGCAGCACATTTGTATAATTTATCAGTGACAGTTGTATTATAATTCACTTTAATTCTCACATCCAAGTTTTGGTTAGTTTCAGGTTTAACTGAATTGGTTTCAGAATAAATTGTATATTAATTTTTTTATAATGAATAGTAAGGTTTTTTATTAACACATTAATAGCTAAAAGTTTAAAATTAAAATTTTTTAAATTATGGTCCATAATCAACTCTTAGTTTCTAGAATAATAAAGGAACTCTTCACTAACCCTCCAAAAATAACATAATAAAATTAATTTGAACAATTGAAAGCTAAATAATTTTAAAATACAAGAAGCATCCAATCTTGACTCGATTTGTAGAGCAAGATATCATCTCAGCAACTTCCAGTTTTATTTTTCACTTGTGCAAACCACAACAGTGGATTGCAGTCACTTACTGATGTTAGTAGCTGTTCCAACAGATTTGTTTCAAATGTAGCTAAGGTTCAAACAACAGCCAGTGCTTTCCTATTCATTTTTGGCTAAGGAAGATGATAGGCTATGTGATGTGTCAATTTAAACTAGGGTTACTAAGGATGGGAATAGAGTATGCTTTAGAGCACATCTGTGTGTTAGGAATTTGGAGCTGAATTGTTGGCTCCATCTGTAAGTGAGAGTGCTGTCTATAGCAGTGCTTCTCAAACTTTTTTGATACCAGGGACTGATTCATTGTGCCTTTAAAATGTTGCATACCACTAAAACGTAAGTATGACAAAAAGCCATTATGATTTACATATGATTATTCACTTGCCATTTAAGAGCACAGTCTCTTCACTTTGTTTACTTTGAGCAAGGTTTAATTCACCACTGGCTTGCTAGGTCTTTTGCAACCAATCATAGACCTTAACACCAAGAAATGAAAGAAAGATTGTCAAAACAGAAATGAAATGATTCTAAAAAATTCTTGGGTATTACCATCAGAGACAAAATATGTAACAATGACACAAGAATGAAGGTGAAAACTGAACCAGCCTTGTCATACATCAGGAGACAAGTCAAGTGACTTGAATACGTAATTAGGCAACATCCAAATTCTCTGTTATGAAGAGCATTTAATACACAGATAAACAGATGGAAACCAAAAGGATGACACACAAATGGTGAATTTAAAGTGTACTTAGTGCCCTTGGGAACATGGTTATACAGGGGATGAACAAGCAAACAAGAAACCATTATTGTGTGTGTGTTCTCTCAACACAACAAGGCACAAGAGAAAAAGCAGAATGATGAAATGATATTTATTCACTGTACATGTGAAGGATGAGTTTTGGATGGTTTCTTACATAGCATAGAGTTCCATCTTGAGTACTTAAAAAACAAGGTGTACATGGTGAAACTTCCAGTAGTCTTAATTAGTCACACTAGTTGGTAGCACTAATTATTTGAAACACAAATTTTTCTAACTGTCAAAAATTAGTGAATTTCAAGTGATCTATTCCAACTGCATCAGTGCATAACTCCACTCTGTAGTTCGGTAACCAAGGTTTCCTTATTTTATTTTCAGATCTCAAAGCCATCCAAACTTTTATAACCAAATAGCTAGCACAAAATATCAGGTAAATATTTTACCATGATATTCTGTTTGGAGAGCATGGATTTCTAAATCCTTATTTTTTGAAAGAATTAAGCTCAAAAGTGGTCAAACCAAACATTGCTAGCACCCTGTGCGAGATATAAAATTCTACACACTTCAAAAAAATATAATCTGTACTTTTTCTCAAAGATGCAACCTTGAACTCCCTATGGGTCAGAGCTCTGTGCAGGCACACAGCTTGCACTACCCTGAGCACAAACAACTACCTTAACTGCTAATTGTTTTCAGTCTTATCCAAAATGGTCGATGTTGCCATAGTCAACCTCCCTAATGGAGTTTAATGAATAGGGTTGTCAAAATATGAGGTGCAAATCAGTATAGTTTGAACAGAGTTGCTGTGATGCTGCTTACAAGTGTCATTGTTAAACCTAGTCTCTAGGATGCAGATTCATGATATCAACTAATGCAGACCTTAACGACAAAAGAGAATAATCCTGTTAATACTATACCACATTTGTACGGGAAGACTAATAATAAACTGAACATATCCACCAGGAACTGTATTTTTCTTCCAAACAGTAACAAGTTTATCAAATGCCCACTTGATTGCTGATCTATTTCCCATGAAGCCATCATGACATATGATAGATGCTCATTTCAATCAGTTTGGCCAGGAATACACAAACCTCTTAAGCATACGCTTGACTGTGTAAATAACACTTTTAAACAAACCATCAAACTGACGATGGTATGGTAAAATCTTGGCACACCTCTAAAAATAACAGGCTGTAGAAGTTGGCTCCTTGATAGTGTGGATTTCTGCATATCTAATTTCTGCTTGTTGTTCAGCTAATGTACCAGCAATGGACTGTAATGATGTGTGAACTAATAGATTACTGTTATAAGCTTGTGGGAGAGGACTAACTACATGTAGGACTAATTTTGTGAAAGAAAGCCTACAAATCCTCCAGAGTTTTCCCGGGCAAGGTTGAATTTTTCCTTGAGCAGCACATATTTTAATGTTTACACCACCATCTTGATCTGAAATAGTACTCTAAAACAATTTTTACACGTTAGGTACAGTGCAAGAACCATCCTCTAGTGCTTGCATTACTTACAGTTTGAAAAAAATGCACTCGCAGATATTCCTGCCATTAGCTGAACAAGAAGTTGGACACCACATTTTCCTGGCTTTTATCAGTGATTCAGCCAATTGTGCATCTTCAACTGGTCATACAAGTGCCAGTGGTTTTGTACAACTTAGTGTAGCAACCAAGTATAGTCCTAAATATACTTGGATCTTTCAGTTACTTCTTTCAAAGCTACTGATTTGTCATACATAACTTACACAAAGTTCATGCACCAGTGGAATCATCATTACCTGTATGATTCACTGTTATTGCTACTGCAGCAGTCTTTTTACACGTGCATGACCTCTAAATTATCATCATTCAACAACAAACAGGCTCTCACTGTACTTCTATACTGTTATCCTGGATGAATCTGTATAATATAGTTGTACTCCTGTAGTATTATACCGTATCGTTTAATTTTACCCTATCACTTTAAACAGTGCTTGGTTCAATCTATCAGTGATTTTTTTTTATCATACAAGTAGTGGTAGGGATACTTCAGAAATACTGCAAACAAGCAGTTATTTTTTTATGTGCATTAATGGAATTCCAGGGATGTCAACATACATGATCCCACACATCTCTGAACCTGTGACATTCCTGCTGTAATTCCAATATTGTTGACATTTGTACCTTGGATGAATTGACAGTCTTGCATACAATAAGTCAACACAGAAACCTCAATCAAAGTATATTTTAGTGACTGAAATGCTTCAGCTTAGTTTCAGTTCATGGAAGACACAAATTATGTGTTTTTAGA